TATCCTTACGTCACTTCAGACCAATCAGCTCCCAGCACAACCCTGAACCCCTCATCCATGATGTCTTCTGATTTTTGCCCTACACAATCTGAAACCTACACATCATTGGGAGCTTGTTTAGAGCACAAGCTCCCCAGCTCCACGTTGACCAACTCGATATTAAACTATTTTTAATTTCTATACTGCAAACTCCACAGCAGCATTGAGGGAGCTCCAGGAGGCCTCCGGGGCTGGAGACAAAGACCAGGGAGAACCCAGCAGAGGCAAAGCATGGCTGCAGAGCAGGGACCTCTTTGGAAGCCCAAACGGAGTATCCCTGGGGTCATGGGGACTCCCAGAAATAACTGGTGGCACAGAAGGAAGAGCTTTGGTTTCTTGAATGTGCACAGAACCATCAAGATATTAACCATTTCACCTACAACCTCTATCTGTTTACACCACTGTGGTCCTCTGCCCTACAGCACATTGGAATTGCCCTGGAGTTGTCAAATCTCAACACAGAAGGGACACCCAGACGCGTTAAATCAGAACATCAGGGGTTTTGTGTTCCCCAGTGATTTCAAGGTTAAGATCCAATGATTTCTTAAAAAATAATAAACTAATGTTTTTCATTCTATTGTTTTAAGAATGTAACGAGGCTATAAATTCCTCAACCAAATGAGGTTAATTGAGAAGTTCAAATCAGATTTCTGATAAAATGCTTTGAAATTTCCTCAGAAAACTAAAAACGGAACTGCCTTTTGACCTGGCAGTTCCATTGCTAGGATTATATACAAAAGAACCTATGCACCCCAATGTTCATAGCAGCACAATTTACAATAGCCAAGAGCTGGCGGGCAACCTAAGTGCCCATCAGTAAATGAGTGGATCAAAAAACTGTGGTACATTTACACAATGGAATACTGTTCAGCAGAAAAAAAAAGAAGAAACTTCTACCCTTTGTGACAACATGAACGGAACTGGAGAGCATTATGCTAAGTGAAATAAGCCAGGCGATAAAAAAAATACCATATGATCTCACCATTAACAGGAATATAATCAACAAAATGAACAAGCAAGCGAAGTATAGCCAAAGACATAGAAATTGAGAACAGGCTGACAGTGATCAGAGGGGAGAGGGGTGGGGATAATGGGGGGAAAGGGTGAAGGGTTTACAGGATGGATGATAAAGGACATCTGGAAAAGAACAATGGGGTGGAAACAGGGAAGGGAGGCAGGAAGGCTGAGGAGGAGGGGAGGGATAGGGGGAAAGGCAGAAACTGTACCTGAGTAACAATAAAAAATAAAGATAAAAAAAGAAATAAAATGCTTTGAAAACTGTTAAAGGTAGGGGATGATGGTGATGATGATGATGATGATGACGATGCTTAGACCCTCTTTTAGAGCCTCCCCTAATGCCCTAACAAGCTGGAAAGTATTTAATATGGTTTATTTATGTTTAATATACTTTACTCTGAAGACAAATCAGCATTATCTTCAGAGGTGGGATGCTATGAAGAATGGCATCAGTCCTGGCTGATGTGGCTCAGTGAATTGAGGGTTGCCAGTCCAATTCCCAGTCAGGGCACATGCCTGGGTTGCAGGCCAGGTTCCCAGTTGAGGGCATGTGTGAGGCAACCACACACTGATGTTTCTCTCTCTCTCTTTCTCCCTCCTTAGCCTCTCTATAAATAAAATCTTTAAAAAAAAAGAATGGCATCAAATTCAGATGAATATAAAAATATAATTGAGGTGTTTGAAGCTGATGTATATAAATATACCTACTTAATTATAATCTCTCTTTCTATCTCTGCCCCTTTTTTAAAAAAAGAACAGTAAGAAATAAAGAGTCATTAGGGAGAGTTGTTTAGAGTGCAAGCTCCCCATCCTCTTTCTCTGCTTTCCCTTTCTCACTAACCCTTCACCTTGGCTTCTGGACTACACATTCCTCATCTGTTCCCACACCCGTCCTGGCTCTTGGCAGGCCCTAAACAGGCCAACCCTGGACCTGGTCCTGGGCCAGGAGCCTGTGTTCTACAAAAGGAGGATTCTTATTTCCAGCCACAGGCAGAAGAAACTGAATTTGTCCTAAATCCCACAGTAAGTTAGGACCAGAGAAAGATCCAGTTCTCCACAAACCTCACCTAGGTTCCACTATGGAAACGTTCACTCTTGGCAGCTAATTAATATAAGAAAGCAGCAAAGCAAAAACACTGGAAGAAATGAAACAGCCTAGGTGGGAAGAGAAAATATGAGAATGTACAAATTGATGCAAAATATTCTCCCACGATGAGTGTGAGATGACACAGAAAGTCAAGAAGTAATAATCCTGGAAGACACAGCCATACTGATGCATATCACAAAACCTGAAATTGAAAGGAATTGAAGCCTTTCATTGAGAGACATTTAATCATTTTCTCAGTAATTGCATCAGTTTTATAATTTCTTTCATCACTGACTCCCCAGTAGCCCTGGCATCTCTCCTCTATGATATGGAGATGGCGGGTAATGGTGTTTGCCTCCAGGAAATTAAAGACCCTTTCAATAACTGCATTAGTCGTTGGTCATTGCTGTTCTGATTGTTCTCGTAACCACCATCAGATCTGGGCACAGAGAGGATATGAAAATTCATAAGCAGGAAAACAATCTTATCTTCCCCTTACCCAGCTCTCTCTTTGCAAGAAATGTCTGCAGTCTTTTTTACATTTCTAATTTGTTCATCAAAAGGCATATTTTTGATAGGCTGGGATATATATATCCACTGGGGACCAGAAGCTATTTGGGATCCTAGAAAATTGTGAATTCTACCTAGGTTTTCCAGAATTATTCTGTTGCGTTGCCATTTAACTTAAAAGAGCAAAACTGTTTCAGAATTGTATTTCAGCACTCCAGGAAACCCAGAAGGCAAGAAGCCATAACACTGAAAAAACACCCTGTTCTCTTCTTATCTCTATAGAAGGTACCAGAAAAAAAGTGTATTCTGGTTTTATTATTATTGCTTTATATCTTGGACACTCCCGGATTTCAGGAGTTATGGGAGGTGCTGGGGAAATTATTCCATAAGCACAATGCCAAACTGAGTCACTCAACAAAGTCTAGCCTAGAGTGAAAAAAAGAAAAAAGCCTAAAGGCAAGAATCCCAATGAACAAGCACTGTTTTCTGGGTTTTCCAACCCAGTGGCCCTAAGATCTCTGAAACTTGCTAAGCTGCATCTGTTATTTGTTTAGGAATTTGGTAACCAAATGTTTATATGTATATATAAGTATATGTGTATGTATTTTTATCTGTTTATCCATTCCAGTACTAGGTATTTATTCTACAGGTATACTTCACATACAAGAAATACTATGTGTAAAGCTATTCATTACAGTGTTACTTATGATCACACACACACAAAAGCTATAAATAACCTCAAAAAGCCTCAATAGAGGACAAGCTAGGTTATGGTTCATCCACACAATAGAATGCTATGAAGCAGATAAAAAGAATAAAGTAGCGCTCATACTAAAAGTGGAAAAATCTCCAGGATTAACTGACTAACTGGGAGGTGTGCACTAGTGTAAATAGTATGCTACCATTTGTATAAAGAAAAGAACAGAAACACCTCTATGTGTGTAATGCACAGGGTAGCTATAGAAAGACATGCAAGAAACAGTGCCTCTGAAATGGAAACTTGGGGGGAAGGGATTGAGGAGGGAAGGAAGCCAAATGCTGTCAATTGACTATCAAAAGTCTTCACACATAATTATATATAGTAAGAATACTAATGAGTACACATAATGCTATGTGCCAGGCATGTTCTAAGCACATTACAAATTTACACTAATTCAACATGCTCCTTTGACACAAAATTCAGATACCTGTCTAATTTCACTAAATTGTCAACTACTTAAGAACATCAACACGACTCAAGCATTTTTTTAACCTACACAAATGATAGTACAGTAGTTTTCACATAAGACTGTTCTCAAGAAATATGCACTTCATTTATTCATTCAATATTAATTTGAGAGAAGCTAATTATCTTCAGCATTTAGAGCTAAGAACTTAATAACCTTTATCTAAAATTATCTTATTATAATCAGTTCATTCTGTCATGAAGTTGAGCCAAACTCCAAAATGAAATGGCTTTGAAAATGTGCTATTACACATATGTACAACTCTGGTTGTGATCAATACACTGGGAAATTCAAACGAATTATTGAAAAAAAGTTATTCAGTTCTCCCTTTATTTTTTTATTCAAAGAAAACAACTGTATTATCAAAGTACAGTCCCCTGCCTTTTAAACTTTGTGTTCAGGAGAGCATTTAAGTGTTTAAAAATAAAAGGTCTTGCCCCGGCTGGTGTACCTCAGTGGATTGAGTGCGTCCTGTGAGCTAAGGGATTGAATTTCGATTCCCAGTCAGGGCACTGCAGGCCAGTTCCCAGTGCAGGACACACGGGAGGCAACCATACATTGATATTTCTCTCCCTCTCTCCTTCCTTTCTCCTCTAAAGATAAATGAATAAAATCTTTTTAAAAAAGGGGCATTTCCTCATTAAAAAATAATAAAAATAAAAATAAAAGGTCTCCTACTAAGTTATATGGGATCAAGATAAAGTACTTAGCACAAGCTTGGCCCATCATAAATCCCCATTCACGTGGAGCTCTTCCTCATTTCTTATTTGGAGCCCTCAGGCCTCATGGGAGAGAGAAAAGTAAATGAGAGCTGGGTTCAGCCTTGTCAACAACTGGGACATCCATCTGTAACAGAGGCAGAGTGGACCACGGGAATGGAAGTGTTTTTCCCACTGGCAAGTCATTAAAAGGCATCAATACTGTAAATTAGACAGTCTTGGGGGGAACAGTTGGTGTGAAGTGGGAAGAGAAAAAAATTAAAACTCTAATTCCTAGATTTAAAAATTCACTTATTCAATCCAGTTTGGGGGTTTTGTTTGGGGTGGGGGGGGGAGGGTACATACCTGGGCCAGGCAGATATTATGACAAGTGGTTGTAATCCAAAACCTCATTTTATTAATTTAACATGCTATATTTTTTTATTTGTTTTCTTTTTTAAGTAAAATTTGCAGATGTAGTAACAATGCCAAATCACATTTTACTGAAGTGGTAAGATACTCATATAAATACTTCTCTAAACAGTTTTGACAAAACAATAAAAATTCAAATAAAATTAAGGGAACCAATATGGGATTGTATTTGTTTAAAAAAAAGGTTTTCAACTGTATTATGAACTTAGCTGTGTTCCTCCAAAATTCATATATTGAAGTCCCCAACTCCCAGTACCTCAGAATGTAATCTAATTTGAAGATAATGTTTTTAAAGTGTTGATTAAGTTAACAGGAGGCTGTTAGGGTAGGGCCCTCACCCAATATGACTGATGTTCTTACAAGAAGTATAGAAGCACCAGGGCTGTACATACACAGAAAAAGGCCACGTGAGGACACAGGGAGAAAGCAGCCACCTACAAACCAAGGAGAGAGGCCTCGGAAGAAACCAAACCTGTAGACACCTTGATCTTGGATTTCTAGCTTTCAAACTAAGAAAATAAATTTCTAATCACTTGCTACATAACAAAAGAAATCTAGTAGCATCACACTTGCTCAAATAATTTTTTTAATTTACAATTATTAAAATTAAAGTAGAAATACCTACTCAAATTATTTTCAAAATACAGTTGAATTATATATTTATTATGAACTTTGGGAAAATTATTTATTTCATTCTATAGGGGTAAGACAAGTAATTTCATACTTCATTTTAAGTCCAGAGTCAGAAAACATTTCTTGTACATCCACTAGTAGAGATCATCATATAGCAATTAAATATTTAAGTACAGAGATCAATTTTTAAAATAGATTTCTATAAATAACATGAAATAACATAATACAATCCACTCTGGATCTAAGAGCCCTAATTTATTCAAATATTAAAAGAAACTTGTCTTTTGGAATTTTCTTCATTTAAAAAACACATTGTGAGAATGAGTTCAAGGATGGAGGAATCAATCAGTACACAGCGATTCCCAGACATGACATATAAACATGACATTTTAAAGATATGAACAAAGGCTGCACAGGGGATGGTTGCCTTGCTCACTCGCTCTCTCTCCGACGGAGAAGGGACATTTCATATTTCATAGTTTCTGAATTTCCTCAGGAGTTCTGAAGGAGCATCCCCAGACCAGCGGAAACGAAGGTGCCAATAATTCATATCTGAAAAATCTTTAAAGGATAGAAGAGAAAATTTTTAAGTCAGAAGTAAAAACAAAGAGGTCAAGCTGGTAAAACACTTTGCTGATAAGACTTCACTGCAATAAATGTAAGGGTAAGTCTTTGGTATGAACTATTCATATCTTACAGAAACTGACTAACTTAAGCAGACTTCTGAATTCTTGTGAATAGGACTTAATTTATATGGATGAGAAGATCTCACATGCTTAAACTTAATAATAAAAGGATATTTATAGATGCCTCTAGTGGTGGGAATTTTGACAATTTGCCTGCAAAAGAATTAGAAACAACTTTCAAATGACTGCCAAAAATAAAAGGTCAATGGTAAAGGATCTCTGGAATTACAAATAATTTATTCCATGATAGTAAGGGTTTTTTTTTTAGTCTAAAAAACAACTTTGTTTTAAATTAGATAAAAGGTCAGTTTCCTTCTCTGCTAGAGGAATTATAAATTGGCAAAACTCTTCTGGTAGGCAACTTGCAGTATTTACCAAACTCATTAAAATTACCCAATAATTCTACTACTAGAAATTTATCTTAAGGAAATAATGGATGTGCTCATGGGTTTTAACTATAGGATGCTTTATCGTATACCTTTAATAAATGTTTTTAAAAATCAAGAAGCATTCTAAATCTTCAGCAATAGATATCTGGTTAAAAGGCTTTTATATAGTGACTAACAATTTTTTAATATTTACAGTCACAGAAAAAGGTTCATAACATATTGATTGCTAAGTGATGGGTGGTTTATAAAATAGTTTACACAGCTTTCACTGGTATGACTCAATGGATTGAGTGCCGTCCTGTTAAACAAAGGGTCATGGGTTTGATTTCCAGTCAGGGCACATGCCTAGGTTGCAGGCCAGGTCCCCAGTAAGGGGCGTGTGAAAGGCAACCACAATGATGTTTCTCTCCCTCTCTTTTTCTCTTCCTTCCCCTCTCTCTAAAAATAAATAAATAAAGTCTTTAAAAAAACAGTTGAAACAATGTGATCTCATTTTTACATTTCTTATTTACATGAATATTTATATTAAAAAACATTTTTAAAATCTAAAAGGAATTACCACTAAATGTTAACAGTAGTTATCCCTGCATAGTTGTAATAGATGTGTTTTTAATTTTTATACCTTTTTTGTTTATCTTTATTTTCTTATTTTTCTATAATAGACAAGTATGACTTTTTAAATTTTTGTTTATAATATTGCTAATGAAAAAGTAGGTTTACAGAATAATAAAATATGCTCTACTGACATTTAAAATATTATCTAAAATATTATCTAAATATCTAGTCAGAAAAAATATACAGAGACACTTCCAGCAAAGATGGAGGTATAAGTAGATATACTTTGCTTCCTTGCACAACCAAGAGAAGGAAAATAACAAATTTAAAAACAAAAAGTAACCAGAACTGCCAGAAAACTGAACTGTATGAAAGTCCAACAAACAAGAAGTTAAAGAAGAAACATTCATCCAGACCAGGGAAGAGCAGAGATGGGCACATAGGGAGGAGAGGACTTGCGGCAAGGCAGTAGCTGGAGGACCAGGCAGTCTCACATATTTGTGTGTGGATAAACAGGGAGGAACAACTGGGAGTAAGACAGACTGTGCAACCCAGACTTCCAGCACCAGGAAATAAAGCCTCGAAATCTCTGGCTGTAAAAATCTGTGGGTGTTAGGGCAGCAGGAGAGACTCCCGCCTCACAGGAGAATTTGTTGGAGAGACCCAGAGGATCCTAGAACATACACAAACCCATCCACCTGGGAATAAGCACTCAAAGGGCCCAATTTGACTGTGGGTAGTATGGGAAGTGACTGAAACTGGGCCCAGAGCCTGGCAAGTGACATTGTTCCCTCTCAGGCCCCTCTTCCACATACAGCACCACAATGCAGCAAAGTGGGTTGCCCCGTCCTGGAAAATACCTTAAGCTTCTCCCCTTACAAAGCCACAGGTGTGTCAAGGCAAAGGAATCTGAACTAAATTAAAGAACAGATCAAAACTTCAAAAATAGAACTAAGTGATGAGGAGATAGCCAACCTCCCAGATACACAGTTCAAAACACTGGTAATCAGGATGCTCACAAGAAGTGACTGAATGTGGTCGAAAAATAGAGGGAAAATTGAAGACTATGCAAAGTGAAATAAAGAAAAATATACAAGGAACCAACAGTGAAGAGAAGGAAACCAAGACTCAAATCAACAATTTGGGGCAGAAGGAATAAATAAATATTCAACCAGACCAGAACAAAGAAACAAGAATTCAAAAAATTGAGGAGAGGCTTAGGAACCTCCAAGATAACTTTAAATGTTTCAACATCCAAATCATAGGGTGCAAGAAGGAGAAGAGGAAGAGCAAGATATTGAAAACTTACTTGGAAAAATAACAAAGTAGAAATTCCTCAACCTGACAAAAGAAATACACTTCCAGGAACTCCAGGAAGCTCAGAGAGTCCCGAGGAAGCACACACCAAGGCACATCATAATTAAATTACCCAAGATTAAAGATGAGAAGAGAATCTTAAAAGCAGCAAGAGAAAAGGAACCAGTTACCTGCAAAGGAGTTCACATAAGACTGTCAGCTGATTTCTCAAAAGAAATCTTGTAGGCAAGAAGGGGCTGGAAAGAAGTATTCAGAAGGGTCATGAAAGGCAAGGACCTACATCCAAGAGTAGTCTATCCAGCAAAGCTATCATTTCAAATGAAAGGGCAGATAAAGTGCTTCTCAGATAAGGTCAAGTTAAAGGAGTTCATCATCACTAAGCCCTTATTATATAAAATGTTCAAGGGACTTATCTAAAACAAAAAAGATGATCAAAAACTATGAACAGTAGAATGACAACAAACTCACAACTATCAGCAACTGAATCTAAATAAAACAAAAACTCATGAAGCAAACAACTAGAACAGGAACAGAATCACAGAAATGGAGATCACATGGAAGGTTATCAGTAGGGAGGGGGAGAGTGAGGGAAAAGGTACAGGGAATAAGTAGCATAAATAGTAGGTACAACATAGATAGGGGGAGGGTTAAGAATAGTATAGGAAATGGAGAAACCGAAAAAATTATATGTGTGACCCACAGATGTGAACTAAAGAGGTGCAAATGCTGGTGGGAGGAGGGCACAGGGCAGAGAGGAATAAAAGAGAAAAAATGGGACAACTGTAATAGTATAATCAGCAACATATACTTTTAAAAAATGAAAAATATACACAGAATAGTTGACAATGGTTATCTCAGGACAACAGAATCTGTTTGCACTTTCTTTAGAATCATCAGAGAAAACAAATCTAAAGAATTTCCATTTAGGGAAAGAGCACAAAAGGAGATAGACTTCTGATGACCTGTAATTGAAACACACGCACAAAATATGTACTGTATGGTCCTTTTATTTTAGGTATACTAACATACAAAAGTAACCTAAAGATCAGTAATAGATATATTCTCTAGCTGGTAAGATTAGCAGTTGCATTTTCTTCCTTTTGCTTGACCATATTCTCTCACACCTCATCTGCTGCCGGCCAGGCTCCTCTGCAGGAGGGAGCCCTGTGCTAGAAGCCACAGGGTTGGAAAACTGGGAAGGTAGATGGATGCCTGGAGTACGGGACTGCACACCAACACCTTCTGCTACATTTTATTTTTTGTTTATTTGTTTGTTTGTTTTTATTCCGGGATGTTACACAAAACTATTTGATTGTATTTATCAGAAGCCATTCATTCCATGAACAGAAGGAGTAGTGGTGAGATTGTCTCGCACTCCAGTTTTCAGATGCCATGATCCATATTTTACTGGTTGCAGTGAAGTCAGAAGATGATGGCACCTATTTGATGTCTGCTCATCACAGAAGCGGCATTAAAAGGCAAACTCCAAAATAAATATTAAGCATTGCTTGAGGAAATTAACAAATATGCTGAAAAGTTATGTGAGAAGCCTCTGAGGGCTTGGTTAAGCTGACATGAACAATATTTCTTAAATGCTGATGTTACAAAAATTTACACTATACTCAAATGAAATTATAAATAATCATGCAATTACACTTTGGTGTATCAAACTCCAACTATAAGGCACTACTCAGAAAAGCCAATAATCTCTTAAACAACATTAAAAAACCACTGGTAAATGCAGCCTTTGGCAAAACTTCATAATTCTTATTCTTCAACAAACACCTTCTCAGAATACTGATCCTCCCTCCGCTCACCCCCTCCACTTCATTCCTCAAACACAGTGAGAGAATACACTACAAGATGTGAGGGCATCAAACTGACATCATAATTTATCCTGAGTAAACTATGACCTATCTGCACTGTGGAATATTTACCAGCTGCTAAAAACAATGAGTTGATTCTAAATGAAAGGGTCTAAGGAAAAGTCCTATAATAATAAAATCTGACACTTAAACAAATGATATGCCTGATCTAAATATTTTACATATATTAAGTTATTTACTCCTCAAAAAGTGTCTGCTTAAATTAATCAGTTACTGTAAGATGTTAACAATTTATACCAAAGACTTACCCTTATGAAGTAGAAACTAGAATTTTAACCATTTTATACAGATAAGAAAACTCAGAGAGGTTAACTCTTGTCCACGTAAGAACATCCAAATATGTAGGGAATTATTATAAAAATTTATTATTTGAGTTGAACAGAGGACAGGCCTGGAAACAAGATCTCAACAGACAGAAAAATGCTTCCCAGAATAACAGCTTGTAGTTTCTTTTATGCATTTGCGGTTAAGGAGGAAATGTAAAAAAGACTGCATGAAGGTGAGGACTGGATTACAGGTTAAGAATATGTACTCTCTTGAGGGGGGTCATGGTTTAGAAGGGGTCTTAAAAGAGGCATTTCAAAGGTCGGTTAACCTAGAGGCACAGAGGCAATGGACAAGGCTTGATTAAGGCAGAGATGAACCTTTCACTAAAGAAGTTATAGGCCTGGGACGTGACTTGACCCACCATGACTTGTCCAGTTAGGAATTTATGATCAGATCACCCTTTGAGGTTATTGGCATAGAACCCCTCTTCTTCATCGGCACTAGAGGTTAGGGGGAGACTGATCTGAACATTCCAAGGCTGAATGGACAAATATTTGTATGTTTGCCTGTGTGCATGTGAGTGGGTGTTTGCATGTGTATGTTTGCTTACAACTGTTTTTGCTGACATTCCATCTTCTGCTTTGATCAGTTTTTATAAAGCTGATGCAGTCAACATACAGACAAAAAGATTTTTAGGGTAACCAGCAGAGACACCTGAATCAAACTCTAAGAATTCTTATTCCCAGCAAGTAGTGAGCATTAAAAAGTTCTCCCCAAACAGAGATTTGAAGTGACTATTTCAAGAAAGACTATAATTCACCACAAACTATCTAATTATCTTCTTTTATTGAATAAGTGTTCAGGAATGGTCAGGGACCTTCTGTTTAAAGGCTAAAATCTGTTGGGGTGTTGTATCACAACCCTAAGAGTCAAAGAAGATTTTGAAGGACAGTTACAGTGTGAGTACGTAACACATCTCTCTCTGTATAGGACACACGGTGGGTGGCTAGAAATGGTAGCGGTTCACATTTACCCAGGGCTCTCCCACTATGGGCAAATCACCATGCTAAGCATCTTGCATGGATCTCATTTAATCCTCATGGTAAGTCTATAAGAAGGTACCATTATGATGTGTAGTTTTTAGATGAGGAAAGTGAGGTCTAGAGAAGCAAGTCTTACCAAGTAATACAGATAATAAGTAGTAGAGTCAGGACGTGTAGCTTGGGAGCCAGAAGTTCAACTTCATTAACACCCTGCTTCAGTGGATCTATAAAGGATTCAGAGTGTCTACAGAGCTACTTACGGTTAAGGTATCTTCTCAAAGATAGTACAGTGCCTTAGAAACAGACTGAAGCCAAACCACCTTAGTTCAGACCCCTGCCCTGCCACATAAAAACTGAATAGCCTTGAAAAAATCATTCAGCCTCCCTGGGCTTTAGTTTTCTCATCTGTCAAAAGAGAATAATGTTGATACCAACCTCACAAACTTGTAGTGAGGATTAAATAAAGTGGTATACGCAAAATTAATATTAAATGAGATAACAGATGTAAAATAATTTATGTAAAACAGTCCTGCACATGGTCAACGCCCCCCAATAAATGGGGGCTAGCGTTATTGCAGTGGAGAGGAAGACAAACCCCCAGAAATATCTCAATTTCCTTTGCCAGGGATATACTGAAGAATGTATCTTCTAGTTTTTGTGTCAATGCTACGTAAATATCTTTTAAGGTGCCAAACCAAGCCTTAAGTTTGGCAGGAGTCAGACCTTCTCTGTCTGCAAAGCAATACGACATGACTTACTTGAAGAATTTGGATTCTGGGGGGAGAATGTATTCTCCAAGGACTCAGATTCTTTTTGCTCCACTTTCTCTGTGGTTGAACCCAGCTCCTCCTTCTTTATTTTTCTTTGCTCATTCCGTTCCTCATTTTCAGCCTTGTTGGTATGAGTCTGGTCAGTTCCTTCCAGCATCAGATCTTTTTTACCTCTGACAGCCCAGTGCATTGACTATATTAAGAGCAGACATATAAAGTCAATATTATATAGTTTTCTACACTTAAAGTTTAATATATTATAGTGCTAGTTATCAGAATGTTAAGCTTGACTATTAACCAGATTGTAATCAATTAATTCAGGTATTAATTAATCTTCCATGATTTGGAAGACTAATGATAGAAGGAAAAATCCATATTATGGTTTTTACAGAGCAAAAGGACCAGCATCAGAGAGGTTCAGAGAATTAAACTTTAGATGTTTCCTCAAAAACTTAAACCCTGAATTACCATATGGACTGCAATTGCATTCCCAGGTATGAATGGAATTGCCTAGGTACACATTCCTTTGTGCACCCAAAGGAACTGAAGACATACGTTCAAAGAAAAACTTACACATGAATGTTCATTCACAAAAGCCAAAAGGTAGAAACACCCCAAATGTCCACCAGCTAATGAGTAAATAAAATAAAATAAAATGTGGTATTTCCATACAATGGCATATTATTTGACCACAAAAAGGAACGAAGTGTTACAATGTGGATAAACACTGAGAACATTGCTAAATAAAAGAAGCCAGACACAAAAAACCACATATGTATGATTCCACTGATAAGAAATATGCAGAATAGACAAATCCATGTAGATAGAAAGCAGAGTAGTGGTTTCTAGGAGCTGGGGTGGGAGGAGGAGAGGGTTCTGCAACTAGATACTGATGCTGGGTGAGCAACATTGCACATGTACTCATAGCACTGAATTTTACACTTTTAATAGTTAAAATAGTGAGTTTTATGTTATGTGTATTTTAACACCAAAAAACAATGAGACTGTGTGCCTTGAGTAAGGCTCGAGATTAAACCTACTACTATTGTAACAGTTGTAATCACTGTTGTGACCTTCCATTCAGCCATGACCAATGCAAAGTTGGCATTAGAATTCTGGATTACACATCTTTTCTTTAAGAAAACACATACGTGGGGATGGCTGGGGTGGAGAGGCAGTGGTAGGGGGAATATGGAGACAACTGTACTTGAACAACTGTAAAAACAAATGTTAAAAAATAAAGAAAAGAAAACACATGGGCCCTGGCTGGTGTGGCTCAGTCCCTTGGAACATCATCTCATAAACCAAAAGGTCATGGTTTCGATTCCTGGTCAGGGCACATGCCTGGGTTGCAGGTTTGGTCCCCAGTCAAGGCATACTAGAGGCAACTATTAAATGTTTCTCTCTTAATCCATTTTTCTCTCTGATATCGATGTTTCCCTCCCTTCTCCTCTCTCTAGAATCAATAAGCATGTCCTCAAGTGAGGATAAAAAAAAGGGAAGAAAACACATGGCATGAAGCAGATCAATATTTACTGTGAAATATTTGTCCTAACTTTAGGTGGATTCACTTTATGGGAACTTTTCCAAGTCCAATTATCCTCAAGTAATAAGAATCATCTAAATAGCTCCCCATTTACTTTGGTGAGGATACTGTGAAGGTGTGCCTGTACACGGCGTGGAAGGTCTCTGGAAAGAAACACAGGAAGGTGCAGTGCGGGCTTTCTGGGGGCAAAGGGCAGAACTGGGGTCTGGGATTAGGAGGAACTCACTTTTCATTACATATCCTATTGTACTCTGTTCATTTTTTAAACAAAGGTGTGTTAGGTATCCTTTTAATTTACAAATTTTAAAAAATCAGTGGTCATAAATCAACAGTTGGGTATTGCCCACTGGTTTCTGGTATAACTTTTATATTTGTAGACATACACAAGATCCAAGACCCCTGAAAAGTCTCCCCAGAAACCTGGTATCACAGAATTATGTTGAATATGCTGGGAGAGGTCTTTTGCCCAGTGATTTAACTGTGTGATTTTGCCAGAGTCCCTCTAGCTGTGTATGGTGGGATCTAGATAAGGAGAAAGTCAAAATGCATTTTCAAAATCGAAGAATCTGTTAGGTCACAGGACTGAGGGACAAAGGTCAAAGACAGAGTTACTTTTCCCTATATGTACTTTTTGTACCTTTTCCATTTTGTGTCCTGTATATGTATTACCCATAAAAATGTTTAAAATTGGATAGATGAGTGGAAGAAGGAAGGAAGAATAAATGAATACAGAGTGAGGAAGAGAGATTAAGGGTTTGCTGTCTTAAGAATATTTCAATTAGAATAATTAGCCCTGGTGTCAACCAAAATACTAAATATAATGGTTTATTTTCCTGATATCCAGAATACTGCTTTCCTGAGCTACGAAAAGGGAGAGGGGAGAAAATAAAGCAAAGAAATCAAAATAAAACATTGATTTCCTGAAGTCCAAGGTTTATTGAATGAAGTAGCTCAGAAGTTGTGACATTTTAAAACTGTGTCAGAACCACAAAAGCAGCCGCCTCAGCTCTGCAGGTTCCCCGTGTTGCAAGGGGCATCTTGCTTTTCACCCACAGCGCACTTCAACTGCTCTTAAAATGCTGGGGTTACCAACTTCTGCCTGAGAAGACCCCAGTTTTGTTTTAAAAAAACGGTTTAAACAAAACAACGTAGGGAAGCAGTAGCCAAATATTACACCCGTGGCCAAGTTGTCTCACCAGCTTTTTTTTCCCCCCAGAATCTAAACCCTGCTTTAAGGCTGAGTGGCCGTCACTGGTTTCTCTCCAAAGATATGAGGTATGGGGGGCGGGGGTGGGGGTGGGACGGGAGTTCATCAACACAACAGCATCCTAAAGATCTTAGAGACACCACAAATTCTTACCAGCACTAATACTGGCCACTCAGCAGGAGGCAGGAGAAGCACCTCTCCGAGAAGAAACGAAAAATGCAAAGGAGTAAAATGCCTTCTTGGAATCTTTTAAATAAATCTTTTCATGACAATTTTTAAAGAAAATTAGAAAATGGTAATGACAGGATGTTACTGAATAATAGCCAAAATGATCATAAAAATAACATGATCTCAGCTATGCTAAAAGATATACTCAAATGTAAATATATAAATATATTTGTAGATACATATAGATAAAATAAAGATAGACAGACTGAAGGGTAATGTGGTCTTATGCACACCCTAAAATCATAAATATATTGAAGCCTTCTGCCCTCATCCAACCAGAGTAGTTGCTTCTTCCTGTACCGCGAGTCTGGCTAGATCACTGGGGGCAGAAAGAGACCCCGAGGCAGCAGGAAAAGCTGCCCTGCCCCGAGTGGGGAAGGGAACCCCAAGGTGGCATGAAACAGCCTGCCTCACCCAGGAGGAGAAGAGAGGCTGCAGGAGGAGAAGGGAGGAGTTGTAGGAGGAGGCTGCCGCCTGCAACGGTAAACAAGCTGGCGCCAGCGTGCGTTGCCCCAGCAACCGAGCACTGCAGTGTGATACCGCAGAGGGAAGTTTGCACAGAATAGGTGCCAGGCTAGTGAAATGTTTGGACAGGAGAAAAGACCCTCCTACCCGCTTCCAGATTATGGCGGCAGGAGTAGGGGCAGAGACAATGTGCCAGCTAATCTTGGTGGACGCCACCCTAAATGGTCTGGGAATTTGGACGCTTCCACTTGGCATGGGATTTTGGGGTGGGAGATTTAAATGGAGGGCGTGTAGAAAAAAACTTGTCACTTTTTTTCCTTCCCCTCTTTAGCCTGGTGGGGAGTCAGCAACCCTAGTGTTCCTGGCCGGTGGGCCCTGGAGACCTCACAGTCTGATAGCATGTGCGCACTCTGCCAACACAAGAAGCAGTGGCAGTGCGGGTGACTGGCACTGTGGAGCCCTGCTCAGCCAGGCACATGGACACCCCAGCTAGCCCATGGCCAGAGGGACAGGGTGCAGGTGCTGAGCCGGTGGGCAGCGGCTGGAAGAAAGGGCAGTGCACCGTGAGTCATGTGCTGGAGTGCATGAACTCCAAAAAGATGCCGGAAGTCGAAGCAGGACCAGGAACCAGCTAAGCCGCATATCCAAAAGTGCGGTATTTTTAAATGGCAGAAGATTCCAGGCGCAGCCTTAAACTGCTCTGGCAAAGGGTGGAGGAGTTATTTGTCTTTGGGTATTTTAAAGGCAATGGGCTTTCAGGCAGAAGCACATTATTCTTCCAAAATTGTATAGCCTTTGAATAAAAGACTCTGTTCCTTTTTCAACAAAACTTGCCTCTGGAATTTATGGGCACTGGGCAGCAGCATCTTCAACCTCTCTTCTCAACTGCAAAGGAGCATTAGTCTCCAAAATAATCAACCCACTCATCCCAATATCAAAGAATTACTCCATGATGCAATTTCTGCCACCATTCAATGTAACTGGCACTCACACTAACAAATGAAGGGGAGAGTGCAGTGGAAGGAAATGCATGTTAATATGGCTACATTTTCATGGCAGGGTTATAGTTATTTTCCTTTTATTTATTTCTATATTTTTTGGTGATTTCCAAACTTTCTATGACAAAATAATATGTGTGTGTTGAGCAAAATGGTTTATAACACTTGACTGACCTACCTATCATCTTAAGCAGTTGCTCTCAGTGACCACCAGTTCACCCCAGGAGGGGTGGGCCCAGAATCGCCTGAAGGAATATTTTTGCATAGATAAGTAGTCCATTAAGTCGCTTGCTACCTTGGAGGACATAGCTGTTACCAAGCAGGTGCCACTTGGCTGTGGTCCTAAAAGTTATACATAAATCAAGCCCCCTTTTGGGCATGGACACCCGAACTCTCGATGCTGCCCAAGACTTCACTTCTGTCCATAAGTCCCTTAGAAAAGACCACCTCAGAAAATTTTCCCCAAAATATGTACAATTACAAAAAAATAGATTTTAAAAGTTAAATGCACTTATGATTGCCAAAATGTACAGGGTTGGGCAAAAAAAAAGGTTCACAGTTGTGAGTCCACAAACTAGTTTATTCTTGTATTTTATTTATTAATTGTTGTACTATTTTCCATCCAAGCGGCTGTAAATCTACTTTCCTTCTCCCTCCTCATAACAAGTGGGGAGCTTCTAGGTGCTAGTAATGGATGCGCTGGGAGGGATGGTTACAAAGTATATACTTCACAACCGTGTACTAAATTG